AACTTTTCGATTGATGATTAAAAAAGCGAGCGAAAAAGTGTTCATTTCCAAGCTTTCCGAAGTCGACCGAAATATGAGCTAAATCCCCAGTATTTCGATCAAAACGTCCACTCTGGAGGACGGGGATGATATGGACTACATTTTGCAATTTGGAACTATAAATTCTAGCCCGGTTTAAAAACAACGTACATGCCATTAGTTTCCCTATGCACATAAATGTTTTTTTCAGAAGAGCCAGAATTTATAGTTCCAAATTGCAAAATGCAGTCCATATGTGACGGGATATACGTCGTAAGTATCAGACTACTGAACTGAGGAAATACCCCGTATGAACATGTTGGAGTCATACAATTTTTATGATAAATTACAAAATGTGCTAGAAAGACTTGTAAAATTTTATCCTTTACATTTCACACATCAATCCAATGGCGATTTAAAACTGTGTATCCGAAAATTTTAATGAAAAACATTCATAGTTCTTTACAAAAATATACTTCATGGAAGGAAATTGGCGACATCGGAATTTTCATTTCGTACGACGCACAGTGAATCGAGTCAATTAGAGAGGTCGGACATGAAATTTTTGACTGAAATTGCTAATCAAATCGTGATGTTTATTTCGTCACATTTTCAACTTCGATGGGTGCTTCTAGAAAGAGATTTCACGAGGACATTAATGGAACCACGTTTAAAACCTCAACGATTTGTATAAACAGAGTTATAAGCGTTTAAAGTTTCCAAATTTTTTACGACCTCTCCTAATGACTGGATCCACCGTGCGACGATGCCCCTTTGTCGGGGGAAAACCATGGGATGCAGCTGTGGCGCAGCTTTTCTCTTACAATTTATGCATGTGTTGCGAAACAGTCGAAACGGTGCATCGACCCCTTCCGACCCGATCAAAAACCAAAATGATGAAGAGGAGAACAACCGATTTTTGTTCTACTTTTCTAAGGAAGACCGCTGTATAAGCTTTCGGCTGTTGCCTAATCTCTTCCGATAAAAATCGTATTTTTTTTTTAAATTAATGCAGGTACTTGTTTGATTACTTATTCCAGAGAATTTTATTCGCGATTTTATCTGGAGTATCTAGACATTTTCGAAGGAAAATGCTCGTTATCTTAAATAATAAATGAACACTTTGTTGGGGGGGGGGGGGATTAGACGATTTAACATGGAAGATGGAACACTTCCGGTATAAGTATTACTTACTGACGGGCCACAGACCAAAGTCAGCAATACACACTACCTTCCTTGAATGAAAAGTAAATTTTATTTCAAAGTAATATTAAAAAATTAAAAAAAATAATTTTGAAGTAAAAATTAAAAAATTACTTTTGAAGTAAAATTAAAAAAAAAATAATCTTAAAGTAAAATTTAAAAAATTAATTTTAAAGTAACATTAAAAAAATTAATCGATAGTAAGAAACGACCTGACAAAACTTAACGTGCTTATGACGACGGACTGCTGCATTGAATGAAGCAGGTAACTTTCTATTCCAAGCTCTCGAGGATTTTTGACTAAACTTTTTGGAACCACCCCCGTTACTGACATTATAAGGGGCTTGATGGAGGCAAGGGGGCAAGAGGCGACGACTCATACATACATGCGGGAGTAAAACATGCGAGCCGGTGTGATCTTTGCGAGTAAAGGTAGCGAGCGTTCATAGATTACGTGACTCTATTTTTACGGATTTTTGACCCCCCCCCCTTCCTTCTTGTAACGTTTTAGAAACGTACGTTCCTATCCTTGAAGACGTAAAAATAAAATGGCGTAACGCTCTGGTGAGCCCCCTGGAGCGTTACGTAATTTGAACGTATTTATGCCGAAAGGAACTATGTCTCACGCAATCCCTTTAGTTCCTTTTAGCATAAATACGTCCATTTATATAGGATCCTAAAGTGGGTGCTGAGTCGGGGACCCGCGAAGGGTGGAGGGTTGGGGAAGGCGCGCGGCGCGACCGGCGAGGTGCACGGGAGGGGCTAGGGAGGCCTTGCTAGGGCGAAGGGTGAAGGGAGTGCGAGCTTTGCACTTGGATCAATAACAGGGACCGTTCCAACGTTCCTATTCCAGATCCGAAAATCCCTTCGACACGGACGCATGAGGCTCATACACTGTCCGGACGGCCCGGCGCACGTTGCTTCGGATACCGGCCAAGATTTTAGAAAAGACATGCTCCAAGAGATACAAGACACTTAGGTACGCCGGCATCCAAACAGGTTTCAGTTAATTCATAAAGTACTTATGTTGTCCTCCGAAATTCTGGCCCTTACTCCAAATTCTACGCCTAAAGGCAGGGTTTCCACGACTTCTTCATTTTCAGATTCCCTGACCTTCTATGCTTTTTCGTTCGACTATAAAATTTTTGATTCCCTGACTGTCAAATAAACTTCCAATTGTCAACCTACATTAATTGTCCATTTAATTGAGCTGACTTTCACTAAAAGCTGCAAGCGAAATTTCCCGACTTTTCAGGTTTTCCTACTTGCCGCAAACCTTAGAGTTGTGACAAATGCGCATCTCAATTGCAATGTTTAAAAATCTCCCATTGGGTTATATTCTCTATGAGATAAACTGTAACAAATCAAATTGTTGCCTTGTAATTTTGTATGTTTTATTTATTTTTTTTTGGGAATGAGTGAAAAACTTCACAGAACATTTCGATTGAAACAATTGGTTGGTTTTCATTTAAAAAATAAGTATAAAATACGCAAATGACTTGCGACGTTGCTATCTAAGGTATGCATTTTGGGACTTTCCTTACTGATGGATACCTAATAGGTACTCAGGAGGAAATTGTGATGAAATGGTCAACAATTAATTATGTAGGGCCAAAATAAACTTTACTACATTTCACGTTGCCTGTTTGAAGAGCTAAGTGCGAGAAAGAAACTTCTCCGTTGCAGTGTTTCGGAATCTTTGCTGAAATTTCAGCCATTGTAAGGAAAAGAAAAGTAGAAATCTTGCTGTGACTATTATTTAATAGTCTCTAGCATTTTAAATTATTCTAAATAACAACTAAAATCTTCAAACTTCACTCATTACTCAGTAACATTCATTAAATTAAAAATTAGCACAAATACAGCAATAAAATTAGATTGAGGATCCATATTAAAGCAAACGGCAATGTATTATCCCTTTTTTTTCTGGGTGAACCTCTCGAAGTCTCCTCTGTTACTTCTTAAAGCTTCTTCGTGGAACAATGACAGAATTCATAATCATCCTGAGAAGTAGGTATCAAGAACTGATTTGATTTATTGTAAACTAAGAAAATTTATACATTCAAAAATCAAAATTTTAGAGGTACCTACATCGACAAATGTTTCAAAAGCGGTAAATCTTAAAAATTGCGATGTATATTCATTCCTGATCCATCATTTGTAATTATTCATGTCTACATGAGGACTCATCGACAACAGGACAACATTTTGAAAATAGCAACTACAATTTTAGGCTCATCCGTAAAACAACGTATGAGCATGGGGAAACTAATAGTACATGCTTTGTTTCTAAACTGAGCCAGAAATTATGGTTCCTAATTGCAAAATGTAGTCCAATAAAAAGTTACTCGATGAAGAGGGCGTTCTAATGTCATCAGTAAATTCTTGGAGCCATTAGGAAAAAATCTGCAGGACAGGAGAATCTATAATCCTCTTTAGAGCCAAGGATGAAAAAGAGGCAAGAACAGAACGCGAGTTAAAAATTAAGGTTGCCTTAAATTTAGTGGCCATCCCTTTAGCTCGTATCTTTTATTTTTAAGAGCTACAGAATTGGGTGAACTTATACGATCCATCAACTTTAATTGTTGATCATATCTGATCAACATTTAACATAGCACTCGAAGATGAACTGAAGTTCCATTCGTATTCACTCCCTGTTTACGATACTCTCAGAAAGTACCTTCCTTTTCTGATGCAGTTAAAGCGTGATGAAGTTAGGCCAAGGAAGGAGAACAAATATACCTACTTAAAATTAATTAAAAACCCGAGCTATCTAAGTATATCACACGTTCAGTGCGAAAACTCATGAAAAACCATTGAAGAAGTGAGAGAAAGAGTCAAAATTCAGAGTTAATATTTCAGCTCTTTGAACAACCATAACTTTTCAGCTGATGGTGGTAAATGCTTAATACATTTTTAAAATCAAGACCTTATTTGATTGAACATTGAAAAGGGCTAAAATCAATAGAAAAATCCTACAGGAGACAATAGGATCAAGGAAAATGAAGTGGAAAAATTAATTACTTTTAGCTGAGAAGTAAACAGTGCGAGAGAAAACTCATGGTTACAGCTCTGATTAGAAAAGAAGTCAACGAGAAATAAACATAAACACGAAACGGTATAAAGAATATAAAAAGCAATATTTGAGGCAGAAGGGGAAGTTTCAGCGCATTATAGTGTAATGAGTATTTAAGTTACTCCATTTAGAGTACAAAATGAAATGTTTTGAGACTTCCGATTGAATATCACCTCAGTTCTCAAGGGGCATGATATCCAATTGATAATCACTGGTCATGCCAACAAGAGAACATTGAAAGGGGACAGAATCAAGAGATTAGGCAGATAAATGATCACGTTGTATTAGGATAGACTTATCAACAGCTACAAATGTATTTAAATAAGAGGAAGAGGAGTGAGAAAAAGTGAAAGGACTGTTTAATTTCGAAAAATTATCAGTGAAACACAGTTGCCATAGTTACGGTTTCATTCATGTAAACCTACACAATGGCGGGCAATTGTGACCTTGAACGTGAATATTTGTTTACATGCACGCGGTTTATGTACAATAGAATTTATTTCAGCAAAAGCAAAATTGAAAATTAGGAGAGAAAATGTTCATTTCAACCGGCAAAGCTACGTAAATCAGTTAAAATCGATGGAATTGTAAAGAATTCGAGAAAATTTACCGCCCAATTTTGACGGTTACTGCAAATTAACACGGCTTTGAAGAGCACTTAGGTTAAACTATTTCACATTCAGATAATGCAGAAAGTATTTACCTAGACTCCACGACAGTAAAATATTCGCAGTCGGCTTGAACCACTGAATTTTTTGACACCACTTTCGCACCAAACTAACACATAATTGACTTGTAATAAGTAAAAATAATTTGAAAAACTCACGAACCTTCAAGCAGCTACAAAGAGTCCGCCATTTGTTCAGTAGGAATGAGTGGGAAACAGAGGGGAACAGCTACAGAAACGTGTGAACGGAGGACCGAGAACAAAGAACTGAAGAGCCTCCGAAACGGGACGATTTGATTGGTTTGTTTGAGATCTCACCGTACCCCGCGATTATTCAAATGCTTTGGGTGAAACATGTTAACTCCAGTTTACTCCAGTCCAAGCACGTAGAGTAGAAGAAAAACGCATTAAATCTTGCTTTTAAAAACTGTAGTCTCATTTCGTTTTCAACATCAACCGTCCTTTAAAAATGAGGAAAACAATTCCACATTCATTCAATGTAGTCATCAGTTCTTTCTCCCCGAACCAAAAAAAAAATACGGAAACACGCATGCACGCACCATTTTGGCTTGAAATATTCTGAAGTGGCGAAGAAGAATCATCATAAAAAATTTTGTCCTTTAAATATTGAATAAGAAGATACTTTATGAAAATGCTTTTTTTTTTTTTTTTTTTTTTTTTTTTTTTTTTTTACTAATTTTCAATTTTTCTTTTATTTAATGTGTGATGTATGGTTGTTTGTACCTCTTGCTGGGATAGACGCAACTTAACCCTGCACTGTTCTGTATTATTAAACTTTAACCGCTCGAAATATCTCTCAGAATTTGTTCATACTTTATAAAAATATTGTTCTCAGCATTATTCGTAAACTTTTCTTTAAATAAAATTAGGACGCTCGCATACTTCCTCAGCATAGGCGGAATCGGGGGTGGGTGGATGGTGCCTCCTCCCCCCCCCCATTAGAGATCTATACATTTCCCGTACAGGAAATGTGAGGAATTTTACTCGGACAGTGTTTGACATATTTTTCATCCTCCAAATTGTAATTAGATCAATTTTTCAGTGAGATAGATCAATATTCAAAAATATTACTCCTGAAATGAATCAATTTTTCAAAATATTCCAGAGGGGGGCCCCTGGAGCCTGAAACCCTCCATAAGGCTAGGAAAATCCCTCGAACCCCTCATTTCGAAAGTAAAAGTCCCACAGATCAGATCTCCTTCATTTGTGTGTCTTTTTGTGCCCCCCGTACCAGACCCCCCTTGATGAGTTGCCTCTCTGGTCCCATACAGAGAGTTGGTTTTTACATATTTTACGTCCATGAATATTATCCATTACATGCTTGCTTATTCATATTTTCATTACATACCCTGGAAATTTCACTTTTTCTACGAAGGGCACCACATTGGACCTCGATAGAGTGGCGGAGGGGGGGGGGGTTGGCATGGCCCCTGGCCCCTCTCTTCTGCCCACCCAATGTTTTTCCGCCTTCTATTTTTGATTGGAATATCGACATAACTTTGGGAATCGGAAATGGATCAACGAAATAGCTTCAAAATTACGTCCCTCGTAAAAAATTCATATCGGGTACATACGTAAATGTCAGATGTATGCCTCACTGATGATGACGTCTGTAGTGGGTTACCGCACGCATTTCCTACGCTCTTGTTGCTAAATTTGTCTAAAAAAACCAGAGTTTTCTGTCTCCTCTATTTTTTCCCCGCTTTAAACAATGGGATTGTGGCTGTGGGAGAAGCCACGAGATTGTTTAGAAAATAACCGCTTCGCAGGTCGATTGAATCAACGTTGAAATTGCGTGGTTAATCATTTTAGATTCTGAATCCTCGCAGATGTATGCTTACATGCTAGACAGGAAGCTATTACAGAATTTTGAACGGAGGCGTATGAAGGCGCGGCTATGGCGGCATAAAATAACAACCGCTGATTGGTCCGCTGTGTAGCCCACGATAAATCGATGTGGCCGAAAGGAATTTTTCGATCGAGTCTTGTCCTGTGTGGGGAAGTTCAAGTTGTAATGGTGGTTACATTATCAGTTTTTTTTCGTGAACAATTCCTTTATCAAGTGGATTGATTAGATGTGCATTGCTATTTTTGGGTTTCCGATTGAATTAGTGGTTTGCATGTAATTCCGTAAGTTCCGCGCTCCTCAGCTACACGGCACGGCACGGCAAGTGTTTTAATTCATTGTGATTGAGCTGGCTTGGTAGTGGTGCTTTCAATTCATTCATGAATTCGCCCATAGCCCTCACCGTTTTTATGAATTACGCGATGCAAATGTGGGATATCTTGCGTATCTCCCCTACTCCTGCGTGAATTTCTCTGTTTGGTGCAGATTCTGTTGATTTTCATTAGTGTGAGCAAATCTCTTGATTTTATCATTCGTTTCATCGAGTTCCCGAAAATGCCTGAAGAGGAAATAAACGTGACGAGGGCATCTGTCGAGTGCTTCGTTCAAAGTGACTGGTTATTCCGAGAACTTCGCTTGAATCCGTCCAAGTTAATTATTTTAGACTGCAGAAGCTCCTATGAGTTCAGTGAATCACACATTAGACATGCAGTTAATTTTAGCATACCTAGTATTATGCTCCGACGTTTAGCAGCTGGGAAAATTGATCTGATATCAACGATCAAGTGCAGAGAGCTTAAAGATCAGATAATGCACGGCTACAATGAGAAGTTCTTTGTAATTTATGGCGACGCTGATGATGTGCGATCTTCTTCCCATGACTTGAATGTTATGCGAGTTTTGACGAAAAGACTTCAACAGGATGGTTGTAGAGTTTTCAATCTTCAAGGTAATTTTTTCAATTCATATGATAAAATGAAATTTCAGGCCTATTTTTATAATAAATTTAAGACCAATTACTCCTAAGATCTATGCTGCTGCAATTTCATCTAGAGACAAGGACAGAGAACTTGCATTCAGATCCAGCATTACGTTAACTTGATAGTGGAGGAATTCTCTTGTGGGAGGCTGAATTTAAAAAAAGGTGGTTATTATTCCGTTTTCAAAGAAAATTTTGCTGCAGCCTCTCAAGAGATGAAGTCCTCGTGTCATTCTTAACAATCTATTGACTCCTAAATTAGTGAAAAACATGAATAAGTCAGTCAGATAGCGAAAAGGGAAATGTATAACCCTGTCCGATTGTTTCAAAATCCTGGTCAATCCTATATTAAGTATTTTAAATGCACGTTCGAACAGTTTCTTGTAAAATGTTCATCATATATTCAGCTTAATGTGAAGAAAAATCTGTTATCTAAAGACCTATTTACTCCAAGATCTCGGTTGCTTAGAATTGTATTTTTTATTATTAAAAATTGTTTTATTGTTGATACCTACTATGTTGAAACGTTCAATTTCAGTAGCTCCAGCTGCAGGTTTATTGTTGTAATTGTAATGTATACTTTTTGGCATTGTCAAGAATCCCATTTAAAAAGTTCAACAGGTTCCTCAGGGAAGGTTATTTCTTATTTAAGTACTGGTAGTACTGTCACCAGTGAAGTCACTGCTGCAGCCAATCATTGTGGTACTTAGTATGGTGGTACCATATTGCTGACGATGGCTATACTGGTTGTAAAGCCAGCTCTGAAAAATCAGAACTTGAGTGCAGTTCTTTAATTGGTCGCATTCCTGATCATTGAAAGATAATCATTTATGAACGCTTAGCTGAAAGCAATATCAAAATCCTGGAGTAGTTCAGCTGGTGACCATTGTAATCTCCAACCTGTGAAAGACATCTCCAAAACCAAAGCTGAAAGTCACATGCTTCAAACACTTTCCTCAAATAATTCTATCCTCCAATAAATTATCCCAAAGAGTCCAGGCAGAGATCATGATCAAATTTAAATGGGAATTTTATAGTCTATATGGTGTCAAAAATGATTCTTTTTGGAATGCTTTGTATTAAAATTTGTTCGTATGCGATTTTTATTTTCAGACGGTTTTGCTCAGTTTCGACAGCAATATCCAGAATTTTGCGAGTCATTCACTGAACTTGACACACCGACAGAACCAAATGCGGACTCCCTTCTGACAATGCCCCTCATGGGACTGAGATCTTTGCGTATCTCTTCAATCACACTTAAACGTAACAAAGAGTTAACCTCTGCCAGCACTTCCTCAACAGATAGCTCTGAGTCTGATGAACGCTGCGACAGCTCAGTTTGTTTGGAGGAAGACCGAGAATTTCCTGTTGAAATTGTGCCGTACCTGTTTCTTGGTAATGCTGCTAACTCAGAAGATCTTGTATCTCTAAGCAAGCATAAAATTCAGGTAATGCAGGTCCTCTTTGCTTTGTGGATTTTAAAAGATTGAGGTGTCTGAATAAGCCAATATCCATTGTTCCTGGGAGAGTGTTAATTCATTATAAACTGGAGGCTATCACACATTTCATGAAAGAATTCGGGGGTAACTAGATTTTGTTATTTTTTGATGTGAGGTTTTTCAGGCCTTCCATAAATAAAAGCCTTTAAAACTGATCTTCAGTGTGCAAATTTCAAGGGTTTCAACTCTATTATTAAAGTTTTTTAACCTGTCCGTGGAGTTGACTGACTGAGTCAACAGAGTTGAATGAATAAAAAGACCACCAAAAAGATCCAAAAGTTTTCTCAATAGTTGCAAGGCATTGACTTCTAATCAACAGCATTTTTGCTAGTCTATGTCAGCAATTATGCCAAATTTTCCTAAAACACTTCGCCACAAGCGCTGAATAATTGAAGCGATGGGTGCAGAATGTGCATTTCCTAGTTTGTGGTGTCTTAGAATCTTCGCTAATGTTTCATCCATTACAGGTAATTAAAGCAAATTGTACGGAATTTGTTGAAACTTTTACTGAATCTTCCGCATGATTTTACAATGCTGGAAACGAAAAATTTCAAATAATACACTGAATAGTTTCCTCTCTAAAATGTAAATCAGCATTGATAATTTTGAGACACCGCAACCTAGAAATGCTTTTTCTGCACCGATCGCTTCAATTCACATTTAACTCTGATTTTTCAAAATAGTCAGTCACATCTTTTAAGAAAGCGTATTGTACTCAGAAAATTGTCAGGAACATCATGAGAAAAAATTAAGGGAAGCCAGTGCCAGACTCATGAGTGATGTGTGCGTCATCCCTCTCACTGGACTCAGTGAAACTTTATCCTACAAATCATCGGCATGATTCTATAATTCTTACCTTCAATAAATGACCATCATGCGATTATTATCTTGAAAATGTAGACTCTGGAAATTTTGAAACTGGGATTCATCTGCACTGTCTGCAGCCCCTGCCGAATATTTTGTAAAAAGAGAATGGAGATCAATTCAACTAAGGATACTGATAGCCATCCTAGAGCCCACAGAGATCCCACAATCAGGGAAAAACGGAATGAGAAAAAGAAGGGAAAAATAGCAAAAAGTGTAGTGGCAAAATTGTGTGTGTCATGTTTGATGACTTTAGCTTTTCTCTTAGTTTGAATCAGAAAAAACTCGAAATTATTATTTTTCATCCTTATTATCTCAGGAGTCTAATGCAAAATTGGTCTTGCAAAACCTTGAAAAGTTTAGAAATTCCTAATTCAAATTTCTATAGCCATTATTTACTGTGGGTCACGCTTGATGTGCCAATACAAATTGTGATGGGGGTTCTCAAACAAGTTCGTTCGTAGTCAATCACTCAACAAATTTTATCTCAGTCTACCTCAGTTCATTTGATTAAAATGAAAAAAAACATTTAATTCCTTTTTTCATCCAAGTGGCATCCATGCAAAAATGTATGCGTCTTTAGAGTGAGACAGAAGATCCTCTATCTTGATTTTTGCATTTACCTTTCATGCTGGACTGAAAATAGCTGATCCTCTATCTGGCGCAAAAATTGTTTAAACTTATTGGTGTTGAATCTAAAAACATGCCTTTTTCTATTTCTCAATTATTTTTTTCATTTTGAATTTCATATTTCTCCAGTGTATTAGCCCATTTATATGTATTGGTGTTATAACCAGTGTAATTTAAGTAATGCATTTTGTCTTGTTTTCAGTACATTTTGAATGTAACTCCTGACTTACCAAATGTTTTCGAGAAGAGCAATTCATTTAAGTATATGCAAATTCCAATCGCTGATCATTGGAGTCAAAATTTGGCGAGCTTCTTTCCTAAAGCAATCCAGTTCATAGGTAAATAATGTACAACCTCCTTAACATCAGATGACTTTGAAAGAATCAATCAATTTTTAACTTGGTCTCTTTTTCATATATCATTCATTTATTCCAATTTTTTTCTTCCACTCGCAAACCCTACAATTTTTTTTCTATGGACTGCAAGTGAGGATGGAAATAAAGTGAGTGATAGCATTCTGATTATCGTAGCACCAAATTATCCTCTGGATACACAATTAAGGCGGATGTTGCTAATTTCCTGTCACTTTTTCTCCTTTTTTTTTAAAGAATCGCTACCCCTTGTTCAGGCAAACAATTTTTTGTTTGATTTTGCCTGTTTGAGAGTGCCTACTTTCTATACATCTTTTTCAAAAATATCAACAACTTATTGCAAAAAATGCATACGTATCTTAATTGCAACATTTGAAAATCGCTGTTTATTATATTTTATTTTCTTTAAGAAAAACCAGGTAATCAAATTTTTTCTTCTCATCTTGTGTGATTTATTTTAAAAATGGTGAAGAAAATTCACAGAAAATTTCAATAGAAACTGATGGTTAGTTTCCTCTAAAAGGAAACAAAAAGGAATCAAAGAACACTTGTAACATGGTAATCTGAGGTACCCATTTTTCGACTTCAGCCATCAATATGTAGTAATACTCTCTTAAAAAAAGTTAAATACAAATGGAATTTTTTGTGTCACTGTAGTTGAGTGTAATGTTTTTCTTTACCATCATCAAACACATGTCTGCCGTGCCGAGGAAGAACACCGTAAATCCATCAAGATTTTCCCTTGTTTCTTGGAACTTAACACTTTATAAAGTTTAACCTAACCTAACTCGAGGTTAAGTTTTTTATAATAATCGCGAAAGAATTCTGTAAAAATACTGTCTGAAGTTACACAAGTTTTTCTGCTATGATACATTGTTTCCTAAAAATGTAAAATGGCGTTTACGGCGTTTTTGCGTTGCACGACAGATGTATGGTGTTGTTTGGAGCCTTGTCCCCGATGAAAATAGTATGCACTAAAAAAGTACATGATTAAAACCAAGTTAGTGAAGGAATTTTTTTTTTCTTTTTAATCTCAAGTAGGTATAACATAAATTTTTATCCACAATTCTTTTGATTATGATCTTGAATTTTGATGGGCTGTGCAGAGAAGTGGAAGTGACAGTGATCTGTCAGATTGCTCAATCTACCTGCTTGTTTTGAGATCCTTTAACAGCCAGCATCTTGCAATGACACCCTGCATCAGTTACCTAGAACAACTCCCAGGCAGAAGAAAACGAGGGGAAAAAAGGATAATTACCTAGTTCTAAAAAGGGGAAAATCGTTAGAAATTATGGAAGTAGCTTTGTTCCATATATATTCACAATTAATTTTTCTAATCTTGATTTCAGATGAAGGGCGCTCCCAAGAAAAAGGTGTCCTTGTTCACTGTGTTGCTGGCGTTTCACGCTCGGTAACAATCACTGTTGCCTACTTAATGGCACGCCTAAAACTTAATTTAAACGATGCATTTAGTCTAGTGAGATCTCGCAAGTCTAATGTAGCGCCCAATTTCCACTTCATGGAGCAACTGTTCACATTTGAGAAGGAGCTGGCTCTTGGTGATGATGAGCAGAAGAAAGAAAGGAAAGTTTGTGAAAGGTGTGAAAACAAGGCTGAAGGAACTCAGGCGTGTAGTTGTCAGACTTCGGTCGGTTTCTTCAGTCCATTAATGATTGGGCAGACACCGGACAGCGGAATCGAATTTGACAGGTGGACACCAGGATCAGGCGACTGAGATTTGGAGTCCGAGGGAGCTGTCCCTCGAAATTCTGACAGAAGCTACACAATTTATAAGTTTTGAGTTTTCAGGTTAAGTTTAGTTGTCTTCTACCCTAATTTTCCCCCCTTCCCCCCTTTGATTCCATGGTTTCTACACGAAATCTTTCAAAGACAGATCAGTAAATCTTTTGTTCTGAATGGATGAAAGAAACTTCCCATTTTTTTCCTCATTTTAATTCTTCTTAATACATCTCGTTGAAATGTCTGATCATAGGTGAGTGTCAATTCAAACATAAGGCTCTATTTGTTGTTGTAGCTGAAATGGCTCCTTGCCTCTGGAAATCCTCACATGGTTTACACTGTGATGTAAGGAGTTTTAGGGACGCTTTTTACTCGGCATTGAAAAGAATAAATTTTATGAAACTTGAGTAAAACTCAAAAGTTTCATTTCTGAAACAAACGGTTACAGGTGATCATAATGTTTTGTCACTGCTAAAAATTCAAAATTCCTCGAGAAAAGTCGCTGGTTTTGTAAATTTCAATATAGGTTTCTACTTACATTAAAGTTTGACAACATCGTTTCCTCTTGTACTAAATATTTTTTGTGGCGGTAAATCATTGTAAGCCTGTGCTTGGATCTATTTTGAAAGTTTAACTATTGGATTTTACTGGTTTTGTATACATTTTCTCTTTTATAATGCTGCGCCTAAAGCATCGTTAGACGTCCCTTAATCTAAATGTAAAGTTGGCTTCCCTAAGGATAGGAGCTGTCTAAAAGACGACTATGAATACAACCTGTAATCAAATCTGGAGTCAAAAACTTTAATTTGTGTATCATTAGCAAATGTAGGTTATTAAAAATATGTTCCAAGTATTGGAGTATATTCTTAAGCCAACAGAAAAGTACCCAATTTAAAAGTCTCTCCATTATTTTATTGTGGTCTTCTGCATCTTTATCAAATTCGTGTGAGCTATTGATATCCTATTAGTTTGATTCTTATTGAGTGGGGAATCTAAAAGTTTCCAATAGTAAATAAGTTTGAAATCACAAAAAATTGCTGTCCTGCTCTAAATGTTGGATTCTATCATTCATATTTGATCTTAGTGATGAAAAATGTGTCATAAAAGTCAAAGAAGTTAACATTTTTGGGGCAAAAATCGATCAAAACATTTTGTTATTTGTTAAAAAGTATGCCAGCAAGCATTATTTGATTTAATTCGTAATTTTTGATGTAGTTTTGTCTTTGGTGCTATCCTACTCAGTTCATTATTTTATAAAATTCTCTCATACTTATTATCTGTTACATAATTTGTTTCATCATGCACAAAATGCCAAACTCTCTTAATTTCACACCAAAATCTCAGCTACTTTACTTAATATATGAAGGGTTGAAAGAAAAATTTATTTTGCTGATCAAAACATGATTCGTGTAGCTTTGGAAAAGTGCTAGATTCTGAATTTTTCTGAGAAGTGCTTGATTGTTTGGAAGGTGCTTAAAGTGTGTTTGAATGTTTCTTCTAACTAATTGTTAGTGGTTGATGCTTGCTGGTTAAAGAAATAATGAAGCATTTGATGATTAGTAAACTGTTTTAAGAGAAATTATTCTCACAAAAGAAATTGCAATCTGTTTTCAAAGTAAAAAATATTCCCGACTAGGACTCAAGGCACATACAAGGAAAAAACTGTGCATGAAAGAACAAGTCCAAAAAATTATGAAAAATGCTAGAAAACTATGCGCCTGATTTTTTTTCTTAATTGAAGCTGCATGAAGCATGTTAAAGAAAAAAATTACAAAACTGCAGCATGATGAAGTACTCTGAGCTAAAGTTGTATGAAAAACAGAAATGATGCTAAACAATCAGTTTCTGCTTCTTTCCTCAAAGATAACAAAGATAAAAATCATTTACTTCTTGACAGTGTATTTTTTTAAAATATTACTATCTTTACGTCTAAACCATCATCTTTCAAAAACTCCTAATTCAAGTTGACTTCTTTTGTGTAAACGCGTCCAGTTACAGTGTAATTACATCCAGGAAAATATGTGTTAATCCGACTTTCGAAGCAGGGTATCTACCTTCTAAAATATTTAATTTTATTTTTACCTTCATCGTTTCTTGAATCTGTGGTATTCGTTACTCGGGAGAAATTACCTGTAGAATCATTGTTTTCTTTGCAATCCACAATAATAGACCACTCCAAAGGTGATTCTTAATGTATTATTTAACTATTGGTTCTGTATCTTTCATGGTTTGCACCAACAGAGCGTCTTTCTCCGGTTACGCTAGGTAACTCTCTGCCCCAAGCAGCCATTTGAAACCTTTTTCGAATGATATGGAGTCCATTTTTTTTTATTTAAGAATGCATTTTAATAAATTATTATATGTGTACTTCTCTCAGCATGTGCCAATTCGATTTCACCGGAGACTTTCTTCAGCTCAAACTGTGTATTTTCATTTCTTCAGTCAATTTCTTGTGCCATAATAGTTGCATTCATTTTTTTCCTCTTGTTCTCCTTCTTGAATTTCGTGTAGCACGTGTTTCAAAGTTAACACTTTTTTCTTGCTTAAAACAAAGCTATTTTTTTATTCCTAAGTATCACATTTTATTATTTTTAATAGTTACTTTGATTTTGTATGAAAATTATATTTTTGAAGAAAACTAGTAGAATCTGTACTTTGTTGTTTGGAAGATTTTCCTTCTCTCATTTATCTATAGAACTTAAATGTAACTTATCATTATGTTCCACCTATCAATGTGTTTAAAGTAAATTGATCACTGGAAAGTATCGTATGATTTAAGAAGTAAATGTGTGTATGGAGGTTAGAAATGAAAGAGAGGACATGTTCAGGAGGATTTCTTTTGACGAGGTTTGTGCGGCCTTCAAATGTGGTCTATTTCAATTTTTTTTTATCAAGACCTTGAATGAAAATTGCTCAGCAAATAAATTGTTAAATTGTATTTTGTACTGATAATAAGGAGATCGTAATTTTGGTTAGTATCAGGGGTACAATGAGTTCTCCATTAGCTGAACTTGGTAGAAATGTTTAAGCTCATAAAAATGGAGGAACAATGTGAAAGCAGAAGGTATATTCATAAAACGCAATTATAAGACGCCTTTTTTTTTCAGGAGAAAACTATCATGCGCATTATTCTTGGCAAAGAAAACTGTGTAATGTGCTCTTTACTGTGAAGTTAAAAGTAAAACGTGCTCTTTTATGCAAAGAAAGTACTGAAGCCGGCAGTCTTATGTGGATAGGAATGTAAAGGCAAATTACTTCTCTGCACCCCTAGTTCTATTGGAATTGCTATCTTTTGGTTGCCTGAATGATTTTAATCTTTCCTTTATTTCCTGGGAAAAATTCTGTTTAATTTTAAAGAAATTGGGAGTAAAAAATACTCCAGAGTTCCTAAGAAAAAAATTTCCAAACTTTTCAAGTTGATAGGCAGTGGAGAAAGATATTTCCTGACAATTAAAAAAACTTATCTTTTTTTTCCAAATTGGGCAACCTGCTAAAGTTCTTTGCATTCATTGAAAGTTGTGAGGGGGAACAAATCATTTGCAGAGGACCTATTTTGAAAAGAATGCATGATGCATAGCCGCATTAACCAAGCTCAAGTTAGGAATTTAATCGTACTTGTGTAAAATAAATTGACTCAATTTTCTACAACTGTATATCAAACTATTTATTAGGTTGCACTAACTCTTTCGTTGAACTTAAATTGATTATATTCATCAATGTCAATCATTGCATATTTGTCTGTTCTTTAATAGCTCACTGTTTTCAAGTGTTGTTGTCTTCTGCCAAATTTAGTATGAGGTAAGTAAGACTTGCCAGGATTAAAGAAAATAGATCATCGCTCAAAATCTTTCAACATGTATGTAAATATTAATACTCTTACTCGTTTCCTGAGTCTTGTCATTCCTCCTAGGGCGTTTATTTAAAATACATAACGCTGAATTTCGGAATTTCCATCCCCTACCCTTGTAACACTTTTGTGTCGTTGCTTTCTATTCATTAACTTGTAAAAACAAAATGGTGCAACGCTCCTCTTGACCCTCCTCCCCTTCTATAGCGTTATGTACTTTATGAACGGCCCATTATGGTTAGCTCTTGATTCCACAAAGTGTTCACCAGTGATTCTTGTTTGCTTTGAGTTGAAGCTGGCCTTCATGAATTTATCATTCTCCTACTGAGGTATTTTTTTTTTCCTCTTTTTTTTCTAAATCCAATTTGTACCCAGTCTCTGCCTCTTTTTTTTCTTAATTGTTCAGTTTTTTAGGTTTAAGTTTTCAATATTATTTATCTTCATACTACATTATTTTCAATCTGCCCATAATTTTGCTGTAGGAACATGCAGTATACTTACAAGCGGAGGCTCAGACGAGGCCATCTCAGATTTTTATGTAGTTTGCGACAACTCAAGTGCCAGATTTCTCCCCCTGATGATAACTAGGAAAATTTTCAATAAATTTTTAGGAGACCTCAGGAGTCGATTGATATGAACTGAAAATCACACCTCAGTAAGCTGTCAATCAAGTATTTATTGCATAGAATCACATCAAAATTGGAGGTGGCTACCTCTGAGCATCTACTTATCCGACTAGTTAAAGCAAAGAGCCACACATGATTAAAGTTCGATAGGTTTCCCAGCCTACACATGTTTCCTTATTCCTAACTTCAATTTTCTCTGTCTCTCTTTATTGTGACGACCAGGATAGTGAGAACATCATCTATATCTCTTTACTCCTGCACATCAGTAGGACTACATTTTGCACTTAGGAAACCAAAATTTATCGCTCATCTGTGCATCATTATGTGCACAGGGAAACCAATGGTATCTATAATGTTAGTAAACTGAGCCAAGAATTGCAGTTCTGAATTTCAAAATGTAGCACGCATGATGCTGTATTCTGCAGAAATTAGATCGTCAACTTTATAAGCATGTCAATGCGAAATTTAATGCACATTTGAAAGTGAGTCTGGATTGCAAGTCTCAGAAATATTCTTTTGCAATCTTTTCGTATTTTTTCAGTTTTATCCGTCATTTTGCCCCCTTTGTTAAAATTTTCGTTTCCGAAACCGTCAGTAGTTTGAGGACAGGGGAAAATATTTTTATTTTATGGGATTTGTTGATTCTTCATTGTGATATTTTGATTCCTGTGTTTGCAGTAAAAATATTCAAGTGTAACACTTGTGACTATGTGTAAGTGTCTATTTTTGTATTCAAACCCTCATGTACATAAAAATTAATTTGTGTTGAAAATTCACTAATTGTAAATGTCAGAAATAGTTCTTAAAACCTCACTCCACAAAAGGCTGATTCAGTTTAATTTTCCTTTTTTTTTTTCGGTGCTTTGCATTGTACTTATAGACAATTTTGAAAGCTGTTGATCTATAAATACCATTTGTAAAGGTGAAGTGGTATGAAATGCCGCTTATGTTTTCCTCTTTTATCTCTCCTCTCCTCTCCTCGTAGTTCAGAGAAACCCTTAGATTTTTCGAGTGATTATTAGAACTATTTCTGAACTGCTTGTACAGTAGTAAATTTCGTTTATTGTATATTTTTGTTGAAACTCAAATTTATTCATGAATAAATGGATGGATCTAACTGGATAACTGTATGTACCTACAAAATTTCGAATTAGGATGTTGCTTAGCTTTCTGGTACAAAGATATAACATGTGAAAAAAATTAGGTAACATCCGATGGGGTTTGGTTGGTTCTAGTTGTTACGGTTAAATACCGTCCAAATTTTTGTCCGGTTTCCTTGTAGGTAATTGAGCTTTTTTCCATCCACCAATGCAATGTTCTGAAACATGGTGACATCAGTACAGAACAAAAGTTTAGAAATCTACGCTCAAATCATGTTATATTCTTGTGTCATTTTAATTTATCATTGATTCTCACCATCTTGTTGTTTAATCTGATGTCCATTATTACGAAGTTGGATGTCCTCGCTAGGTAGCTATTTAATTACAAATTTCCACGCATACTTAATTTTACCTGACCTCTTATATTCACCATCATCTAGAAACATCTATTTTGAGAGATGAGGAGAAGAAGAAGATCAAAGACGGAAAGGGTCTCCTCTGTTCGTTCAAGTGTTCAGGATTTTCTGTTGCCTTTGTTTCCCTTGTCCCATAATTTTCGAATTTTTAAAGGGCTGTCAATCCATTTATTTGGTCATAGGTCAACAACAGTGAATAAAAGCCCCTATTGTCAATAATTTGAGCTTATATTTGATTTTTGTTCTTAAATTCTTACTATTTATGAGTTTATCGGAGCGTCATTTGAAAGGATTAGCACGAAGGGAAGAACAGGAAGGAAAGTCAGCCCTTTAAATGCTCAGGCAATTTAATTGTTAGAAAAAAATTTGTTGGTCCTTTGTACCAGCTCTTGTAGAAGATTTAACTTTTATCTGTTAATAATGGGTAATGCTGGTCATTCGTTGTGAAATATAATTAAATGCATTCATAAGTGATGCCAAAAGTTTTGCTCTAAGTATATTAGCGTCCATCAACTCTTTCTCTATTCCTCTTTATTGAGTCTTTACTACTGATGCCAAATGTAATATAAATTCCTAAATAATTTAATGACGTCAAAAACTGTATTTGATTTTGTAAAGCCTTTTTTTAATGGATATTGCAATCGGTTGTACCTGCATCTGCACTTTTCAGAAGAAGTGCTACTTCATCGTATCCATTACAACTCCTCGATACCTGTACAGTTATTGTCCCAAAAATTAATCCATCATGTGCAGAATTCATATTGAAAAATTCATGATCTTGCATTTACTTTGTCTTACTTAAAAAATGTTATTTGGCGAGCCTTCAATTTTTGCTAATGGGAAAAGTCCATTTTTTGTATGGTAGTTGTCTCAGTAATTTCCAGGTTTTCATCTTTTCTATTCATTCTAAATCATTGCAAGCGTCTCCTCCCAAGGGGGGTTGCAGGAGAGGGAGGGGAGGAAGTAAGTGGATGAGGAAGACTTTCAAACTCTACGAGTCCACTCTTTTTCAGGTTCTCATGAAAACCGTGATTTTTTCTCCACTTTTTATGGCAAAATATTTCTCTTTGTTTATGATTGTCTCTATTCCTTGTCCTTTGTGCTCCTTTCCTCTAAAGGTGCTCCCAATTTACTATTCTTTTAAAAAATTATTTGCCTTTTTAAGTAAGACGGTTCGAGAGAAAATTTAAGATAGCTGAATTTCAGGTGAGCTCTCCTTCAAAGCAATTTCGCCAAGGTTTGACTGAGAAATTAGGTTCCCTGTGGTTAATTCAAATTTCATTTAAATTTAGATTTTTACACCCCCCCCCCTCTTTTTTCTTCATCTTATTCTCAATTTTGTGAATCATTGACAAGAAGAAACCAGAAGCAAGTGATTTCAATGAAGGGTTATTAATATTATTGAGCACCTGCAGTCTTGATCGAGCTTATTGTAATTCTAAGTCTTAGTGCTGGGCTTGCACTAATATTAGTGCCACGCTAATACTAATTTATTAGAGGAACCCTGATTTAGTTGATCACCAACTTTGTCCATTTAATCGGGAAGTAAATTCCTGTTTCCCTTTTGAGACTGAAGTCCTGAGGCCAGAGGTCTGTCATCACTTGAATCAAATGTAATATTTTACTTTAAATAACTAGACAGTAAATGAACAATCTTTGCTCAGTGCTTATTTCAAACAAATTAATGGTATTTCTTTGTCTTTTGATTGAATGGAAAACCTGTGTCAAAATGAAATTGAATTCTCCTGCAGCCAACGTAATAATTATCAAATTATAAGACGAGACACTGCCACGGTAACAAAATGGGGCCTCCACACCAACTAAATTGAATCAAAGGAAGTCTACTTTTGAATAAGGAGCAGTTCCTCTTGCATTTACAGTCCGTATGTCAGCCAAGGTGGAAAAAATATTCCACTCTCAATAGAGCATTTAAATTGTTTTCTCCGATTTCTTATTATTTTTTTACAATTCTTAGCTTTCATTGTGCCGGTGCTAGGAGATATTGATTCAACAGAGGAATTGATCACGTAATCATTTCCAAAATTGTGGCAAAATCGCCAATTGATTTTATCATGGAGTGTTATAATCAAGACCAATCCACACAGGTCAGTCATTCCCGAGGACGAATTTTGGTACTCTACTGCGCAGTGACGTAGTATTGAGTGCATACAATGTATTTCTTATGGGTGCACTCAATAGTACGTCACAATGAGTGCTGCGAGTTAGGGCCGGGCGGGGGAGTGGATTTCAAAAAAGCTGCGCAATGACTGACCTGTGTGGATTGGTCTTGGTTATAATGATCTAAAGTTTTTAGGTAGTCAAGGAAAGTTCTTTTCATGTTTCCACTATTTCTTGTTCTCCTGATTTTCAGTTGAGCTTGCTGTTGATCCTGCCAACCAAGAACTTTTCATAACTTAATTTGTCATTAAGCACGCATTTCACTTATTTATTATCACGAGTAATGATGAAATTTTTTGATTTAATGATCATTGTGAGTGCCATTCAACATTAAGCACCTCTTTTCTTTTGCTTATGGAACTATCACCTTTATTGTTAATGTGACCTATGTCTGTTGAACTGATAATTGAAACTTAACTTACTGTATTTATCCACAATAACTTCCCCTAAGTTTACCCTTTGTCATTATTTCTAAGTTCTATTCATTTAATAAAATAATTCTTCCTCAACCTTAGTGCTTTTAATTTCCTCCCAAATTTTAGTCCGTCTAGGTTATTTCACAGAATTTTTTCTGAAGTTACTTTTATTAGAAATTTAATTTCTTGTAAACAATGTAGTTTATATTCAATTCAAGAAAGAATAAATACGCATATAAGGCACCCAAAATTGAAAGGATGATGTGTTTATTTTACTTTTCACCTCAGTTGTTGATCTGCAGCTTGTGAAGATTGCATATATTATTTTGAAGAAGTGATCAACCTACATGACATCTAACTTCCTTAGTATTGGTGGCTGTTCATGAAACCTAGAATAGACTGAATCAGCAGCTGCACCATTTGTATAATCGCCGTTAACATGCCCTGCTCTCAAAAAGAGTAATGAAATTGTTCAGTACTTTTCCAGTATAAATTACTTGGATACATATTTTGAAGGGTCAAAAACACCAAAAGGACCGAAAGAATGAACAAAAGAAGTTATTACAAAAAATAATAAATAATAATTTATTCTTTTTTAACAAATTTATTTCAATCAAATTGCTCCATAATACAAAACATAATCTTGAGGGAAAGGGGGGGGGGGTCAATATTTCTTTTTTTTTGGTTGCTTTTTTTTCCTTAGTATTCATTACAGTAATAAATATTATAAAAGTTTATATCAAAATTTTGAAAGAGCACTACTTAGAATTGGTAAAACAAACTTGTCTTGCAGTTAGTGAAAGATGTAGAGGAAATATTTATCTATTTCAAAATTTTGGAACTAAAACTATTAGTTATGAAGTGAATTTCAAACTATGACAACACGCATGAAGCTAAGTTGTGTTGAATGTCTATTCACTCATTGTGTAAAAAAAAGTAGGGGGAAAGAAGAAATTCAAGATTTTAGAGGGGGAAAAATAAAAAAATATAAGACCAAAAAACTTAACATTAATAACTGTTAATGGAGGATATAAATTGCGGTTTGTACTAGACTGTAAGTGTTTCACTACTACATGGATCAAGTTTGATTGTAGTTGTACAGAAAAAATATAAAAAACTAATCAGTACAAGAGTTAACTTACTTTTGATATTTTTCAGATTTTAATAAATTAACTCATCCACTCGGAGAGGTAATAGTAGGAACTGAAGAAACAACAGGCGCTGGTAGAAAGCCGAATTGCTGAGATTTACTTTGGAGCCGCCGCTGACAAAGAGTGGATTCGGAGGGAGGGGATAAACCAAACAGAGGTTCATCTTCTGAGCCACTGTGCTCAGCGATATGCTCAGCGAAGTTCATGCTGAAATGCTGCAGTACAACTCGGTTGACGGCCATTGCTGATTCAGCAAATACAGATAGCTCCCGAGCACTGTTGTTTCGTCGGATCACCTGCGGAGTGACTAGGGGCCTGCCAGCGTGGGTTTGGCTTGGACCGGGGTTGACCCATCGATGATTCAGTACTTCGGCAGCGCTAAGTCGGTGGCTCGCTTCCTTGACCAGTAATTTTCGGATCAAGTCTTTGGCATCTTCTGAGATGTACGCCCATTCTCTGTCGGGGAAGTCATAGCGGCCCTCCTGGATTGAACTAAAAAGCAGCTCCTAGAACAAAAATTAATATTCAGATTAGATTCAAAAACAAATGAGCAAATAACAAAAACATGGCAACAGAGAAAAACAGCAGTGTTGGCATTATTTGCATTCCTCCTTGTTATTTTCACTGGAGCAAAATAAAATCTATTTGTAAGAGAAAATGAGGCCTATGGGTGGCTTTCTATGATCAAAAATATGAGACTTCCATCACAATTTCTCTAAGAAGAAATTATAGGTGATCCTGATGGAGAGAATAACTAACACTCAACTTGTCTCAAAATTTTTTCACAATTCGGCTGTACCTACAAAAAAAGAACATGCTTTCTAAGAATTTTTTTTTTGAAGCATGGATACATGTTTCAGCAACTCAAAATTAGACCGTGTTAATTTTTTTCTGTCCGTCAATGCCATAGACTAGCTAAAATATGAGGAAAATGAAACCATTATCGAAACATTGGAATGAAGCATAAAATTTCGTTTTAAAATGCCAGATGATGAAATACTTCTCAAGAATAAGTTTGAAATACAGTTAGTATGATTACTAAATGGTGGTATTATCTTGGAAACTATTGTTGGCATCTTCTACCTTCAGGATAAAAATTGCTTCCTATGAAAATTAGTGATAAATGCTTTGCGGTCGCATTACTCATTTGATTTCCTTATCTCATTTGCAGAGGTTGGTTTGTTATTAATAGAAGAAGTTAGGAAGTGGTAAAACAACTTACTTGACACTCCATACAAGTCTCTCCTCTTTCCCAGCCACAATCCATTCCGCAGTTGCCATAGAATGGAGGATATCCACAGAGGAGAATGTACATGACGACACCGAGAGACCAGAGATCACATCGCTTGTCATAGGCATTGGACTCTCCTGTGAAAGCGTTGACAACCTCAGGGGCCATAAACTCAGCACTGCCTACCGGAGTCAGCAATTGCGGGGTTGCAAGGGGTGAGCAAAGAGCAGCGTTTAATTTGATACCTGAGCCTAAATCAAAGTCACAGAGTTTAACCGGTGTGAGTTTATGACGGTCCACACAAAGGATATTCTCAGGTTTGAGGTCTCTGTGAGCTATTCCCTTTTTGTGGAGGTAGTTAAGAGCACTTGCAAGGTCTTTTATTATCTGGCTAGCTTCAACCTCACTGAAATGGGTTCGTTCTTGGATCCTTGAGAGAAGCTGACCTCCTTCAACTTTTTCAAAAACTAGGTAGAATCGGTCGTCATCTTCAAAAAATTCTAAAAGTTGGATGATGTTCTGGTGCCCAGCGCAGTGGTGGAACGTTTCAACTTCTTTGAAAACACGTGCTCGAGAGTGCTCTGCTGTTTTCTCGATGATTTTAACTGCATATTCCATGTCAGTTAGAATGTTGACACATGTTTGAACCGAAGCATACGCTCCTTCACCAAGAACTTCACCAGTCAGTCTATATAAATCTGAAACACACAAAGAAAACTCACATTAGCCAAACTTGAAATTTAATTGGCTCTTAAGGAATATTTTCACTTGATCAAATAATACTTGACTCACCACCTCTATTTCGTACTCGGATCGTTAGAATTCAGTACACCTCGAGTATTATTTAAATTCATATTGGGTTGTTATTGTACATATTAAATTCACTTTGTATTTGCAACAGTTTCTAAGGTTACCATACATTTTCGGAAAGATATTAAAATCACAGAAATCAGTGATTTGCCAGAAAAGTAATCGAAATTAGTGATCCTAACGGGTGAGAATGAAGATACCCAGAGTAGTTAAATAGATTAAGTAACACCATCAGTTAGATGAACAATACTGCGATGTTTTTTTTTTTACTGTAAGAGCATTTGAACATTGCCAAATTTCCTTTGACAAATTGGCAGGGACATTTTTGAATTTTTTTTTCTAATTTTCTGGAGAATTGTGAAAGTAGGTAGGTAATTTGATCAAAGATGTCTGAAAATTTCAAGGAGAAATATTCATACTTTTCTTCGAAAATAGACATTTCGTATGAGGAAATTTGGCAACATTTGAATGCTCGTTTGGCATTTCTCCTAAGCACAGAAGCATTTGTATGGTTCATACATGCTTCAGTCAAAGCACATAAAGTATTCTTTAATTTTAGGGTGAAATACAGGCAAAATGTCAAGTTGACCCCTAAAAATCGAGCTTAATGGGCCACATGGCTCCTGAAACTCAAAGGTGAGTTTCGAACACTACATATCATAGTATTTCAGTACCCCAGAGTTAAAAGGTGCAAATATGAATCTCAATTATTGCGGACTTCATTTCTCCTAACTGGTGCTACCAAATTTTGAACACACAAGAAACCATTATTGTGGATTTTTGTAACGCAAATAACTTAATGTCTGCAAAAATGTGAGCTAGGTAGCTTTGGGCTCTAGAGAACTGACACAGTCAATGAATAGAGGAGTATGGAGCGAAGTCAAGACCCTATGAAAATCTATTCATTCAAACACTGTTAAAAATTGATTGCCAGTAACTTATGGTGTTATCGCAGTTGAAACAAGAAAATGCACCTTGTCTCATTGCGATTAAAAATGCATTTTTCCACCGACTCAACTATTCAGTTTTTGGAGAAGACTATACCTAGATATCCTAGCGGTTATTGATAAGCTTCCTAAACACACTAGCCATTTATAATAACAGAGACATGAGGTCTCTCTTCTGAGCTTGCCTATTAGTTTCATATTCAGATGGGATTGACTTTACCGATCATGTATGCCGGTTCTACCTGCTGTGCAACCCAGGGGACAAACTTAGCTAGCAACAATCAACTGGATATTCTAGTTGCCAGGATAATTTTTCTAGCATTTCCTGCAAGACCTGTCTTTTGAAATGACTAGTTGAAAGTTGTACTTAAAAGTCAATAATATGCTGCGTGCTTCAGCAACAGCTCTGACTTATGAAAAAGATGTACCACCCTACATAAAGACGGTGTAAGTCGGCAATCACATATCTTGTTTGCTGTGTTTAAAAATCTCCGCCTCGGTGTTATTTTCTTAAAGGAAAACAAATTGATATCATTCCTTGAAGTTTTTACAGAATTTTTTATGCACAGAGAAGGAAAATAATGGCAGATTTAAAGAATTTCCTTTAAGTAGTTTTTCGTTTAGAAAATAAAGTATGATAGGAAGTCTGCGACGTTGCAAACCGAGGTATGATTGTTGACTGACACCGTCAATAAGTAATGAGAGCCTTTTGATATCAATGGATTAAGTTGAAAAATGTGGATCTTTGATTCCACCATTGAGGGTCTCCTTACCTTCATTTTTCAAGGGAAAACTGAAAAGTGAAGTAAGGAGGGAGTTTCAGATGAAACTGACGGTAACTTTTTTTGCACCAACTCAAAGAAAAACCACACAAAATTGTAAAAGGACACCATGGTTAGTTTCCCTTGAACGAAAGAGAGATATCATCAGAGATATCTTTAAATGTAGCAATTGAGGAGTTCTTTGGAACAGGGGCATATAAGACTTGCAATGCTGCTAAGATAGCAACTTGTGCATCTTAGTGCATCGTTTCCAGTTAGACAGATTGAAAGCCCTGCTAGGATTTTTTTCTGAAAAAAATATGATCATTTGGATTTATTTTTCTGTGAAAATAATTGCATGTATGTGTGACATGGTTCGCTCCAAACTGTATACAAAGTCGCACAATCTTGGCAGCATTGCAAGTCTTATGTGCACTTGTTCCAAAGAACTCCGTAATTGAGATACACTTTTTCAAGATTAATCCATTAATATAATGCATCTTCACTTCATACACTTGAAGAAATTCACATTCAGACTTACAAGTGTATTCGGAAAGATATCCTTACAATTCAAGGTACTGAAATTCACATTCAGACTTACAAGTGTATTCGGAAAGATGTCCTTACAATTCAAGGTACTGAAAAGAATTGATCGGGTAACATACCTTGGAAACATGATGTTACTAAACTAGTGGCAGTCTTCTTTTTCCTTCTTTTAACTCTAGCTTCTTCTTTTCTCTGGGATACACAGTCTGGAACATTGCTGTCATTGGTTTTATCCCGCAGAATACCCATGACTTCATCTGTAACACAAAAGAGAAAGAGAAAAATTACTGAGTGCACTAAGTAGACACACTGAGATACATTAAGGAACACACAAGAGCCTATAACCTTGCTTTGTTTACGTTGTCACTTCGTGACCTGGTCGAGAGTATTAATCTCTATATACTTTACAAAATTGAAGGAGTCTCTAAGTAATCTTAAAATCAAATGTTCCCTGCTGACCTAAATTAAACAAGATATTATGTTCATGTATTGCCTCCACATGTATTCCTAGTACTTGACCAAAAATTAGATCTTATTACTAATAGATTAATTACTTGGGGTTACAAGCTTAATTATATGGGGAAAAAACCCAGATAAACCTGACAGTTCTTCTTTAAAGGAACCTAGACGCACACATGAGCTGTATCAAAGCTAACAAAAAAAGAGTGAAGACCAGACTTCAATACTTGCCTAAAAGTATAATAATTAAGCCACAGAATTATGAATACTTGTAAGAGAAAATGAGATGAAAGGAAGGAAAGAAAGGAATAGAAATGTAATCTTCTATTCATGCATTTTGGACGTACCACTGCATCAATGTACCTGAAGAGACATTCTCAAACTGATTCTTAAAGTTTACATCTGCTTGGTTGAGGCTCTTTAGAGTAGTTCCTCGTAGGAAGCAATAAATTTGACATTTTTGACTCAAACAATTTTGCAGCAGAGACCAATAATAATAGGCATTTGATGGCGGAAAGGGGGTTAGTGCATAAAAGTTTAGGTAGTGTCAATAATGGTACTGTTGCGAGAGTGCGATGCTTACTCACTTATTTCATGATTATCTGTTGACCTCCCTTCATTCCTCTCTTAAAGGATGGTAAAAAAACTTGAGTGTGTACAAGAAATAAATAAGCATTGAAAGACTCTGATAAATGTTCAAGCATAAATGGATTGATCAATCAGTAATTTAAGTGATGAAATAAAAAAGGTTTTAATTGTGATATGTCTCACATTTTCCCTTTCCCAAAGAGCTCTTCCGACATCTCACCGACTATCAGGAGAAAGTCGATTTGGTTAAATACCTCATTCAAAAAGAAAAATTTAAAAATTCTTTGTGGCAATTGGTGGTTTAACGCAAACTTGAGACGTTTGATCCAGAGAGCGCCCAATTTTTCAATAAATTAATGAAAATACAAATGAGTGATGCTTCAGCTGAGACAAGAATAGCAGTATTACCACTGGTACATTTTACAGTCTATGCCATCTATGCACAAAATGTTGTTTCATTTAATTTGTCGAAAACTAGGGAGAAAAAGAATACACAAATGTTACATCCAAACATTGCACCATTCAACAAATATTTACATGCAAACCAGTGGGCCAACCGATGATTGATGCACTCAGACTGATGTGACTTTGGTTTGTCTATTCTAATTTCTTTTCTTTCCCCAGTACCCCATTTCTACCAGGTTGTAAATGCTTGATTTGTCGATCAACAATGCAGTAATTCATTATGTAAAGGAAAGAGGTCCATATATTGGCACTAATATAGAGGGACAGAGATATCAGCTCACTTAAAGAAGAAGGGTATGTAACTAAGGAATACTTGCGACATTCAATGGGAACTCAAGCGCGGAAGAAATAGTCAGGATAGGTGGAGAAGATGCATTCTTTGAATGATGATTATTCCATTAACTATCATTACTAGAGAAGTAATTAAATGAGAAAGTTAGTTGATGCACTCTTTTGCAGTTTGGTGACAGGTACCGAATGCTAGAGTGTGAATGTTCTAATTGAATTGAGAGATTAATAGTGCTATGGAAAGGCTGATAAGTGATGAGAGTGTTAAGAAAAGGAGATTATATGATCAAAACGAAGTATGAGATAATCTATCAATGCAATATTGAAAGAAAAAATGTCTCTCACTTAAATTTCCAAAATACTAGAGATCAACTCAATCACTGCAGCAATAGGGGACATAAAAGGAGAGTAATCAGGAAAACAATGGATATGGACATGGATCCTCACACATTTCAAAAGGACGCTCACAATATTGTTTTGTAAAGGCTAATTGATTTGAAATGAAGTTCCATCCGTTAAAGGGGGTTAAATTAGAAGTTAAATTGCGGTTAATGGGTGAAGCAGCTTAATCAGAGGAGGCCATCTTCTCATGTACTTAATGGAATTAGAATTGAGGGGGGCTTGGCATACCTTTATTGAATGAAAAATATAATGCATTAAGGTGTAACTTATTAAATTGGGGTACTGAAGCAAACTATTAGCCAGAGCTGTAGGGCTGAGATACATGCTTCAATTTTAGGATCCATCAAAATCACCAGGGGCAAGCAAGATAGTCAAATAACCTTCTTTCAGAGGGAATGAGATACACCACAGCAAGTAAAGGGAAACATACGCTATTGACCACCTATCTGGATGTTTGAGAGGATAGCAGGAAATATACAAATTTGGCAACACTGCTACAACTATTAATAAATGCATTAGAATTTAGAACTACAGTGCCCCATTAGAAAAACACTTAGGTAGATGCCAATGAATAATCTGGAAAGCTCATGAAAGTATGTATGATGCATGGACCAGCAGGGGCAATCAACTATCCCACTTGGTACTTCAATGACCAAGCACAAATTCTGGATTGGGCTGCAATAAACCTTTTACTTACATGTCATCATTTCTTTGATTCTAAGAATGATTCCCGAGTTAATCTTCTTATAGACTAAACTAACTTGAAAGCTGAACTAGGTCGGTAATAATTCTTTAAGGAGCGAGGATGTTCTTAGGTTGATGAGAAGAACTTATATGCTGGGAGAATAATACATCAAAAGGTTTCGGATAAACTGCCTTGCAGCGATTGGATATTTTGTCTGTCAGGGAAACTGCACGTCGGTTGGAGAGAGTAGAAAATTAGATCTCGACAAAAGTGCGAATAATAATGGGGCGACAGTTTCTGGTTCTTCTCAATCTACTGAAACGTTCTCAACTACGTCGTATGTACTGGAACTGGACTATGGTGGCATCACTCCATTACAGACTCAAAATAATAACGAATTGTGGGACAGAAAGGACTATTACGTAATGAAAAGGATGGTCATTGAAGTTCCCTCAGATCACCTTAATGACTTGCAGACGAGACTGATAATTAGAGGAAAAACTGAGACGAAACGAGAACAAGCGGACAAACTTGATGATTAGAGTTAGAGAAATTCAAGATTCAACGCTACGAGGTGACGAACTGACTCACTTACTGCTATTTTCAATGACAAAAGAAAAAGAGGTAGTACGCAAAAGGCATCGCCCTTGGTTCTCGGAGGCTGAGTAGAAAGGAAACTACAATCTACATGGAAGGGAAAACCGAAAGGTCGAAATTTGGCCGGGCCAAAAAGGGGGAATGGAACAATGGATAATGGAACCCAAGCCCCGGGCGCGGCGTCGGTATCTCGGGAAGTGAAGCGGCTTGACAACAAGGAAGAAACGAAGAGCGACAAAAACAAAGGAATGGAGCGATGCACTGGGATGGAAGAGGGGCAAAACTAGATGAACTGGGACTTACCACAAACTGTGCCGTCTCCTTTGCTTTCTTCAATAATACTTTCGACCATATTGAATAAAAAACTTAACACAAATTAATAATGACTTAGAAAAATAAAAATTGGACGCGGGGTTGAGACAAAAATACGAATTTCTGCGTAACCAGCAAAACAATTACCAAGTCTAAATCTAAGTAATTAAATAAGGGTGAGATATCACAGCAGAACGAGACTTAAACGTTAACGTATAAATAACAAAACAAAAATTAAAAAAAAGAGAAAAATGGAGATCAATCTGCCACTAAATAAAAAATCCAAGCACTTTCTGCCTCCAATCCTTGCACCATGGCATACGCGGTACCGAACTCCGTGGTTGGACTAGCACTGACGCGAAGCTTGCCGGAGCGACCACGAAAATACAGAATAATACGTCATTTCTATCGCAGAAACGCTGCGCGCGCAGGTCCCCCTCCCTCCCCCCTCCGCATCCCTCCCTCCAAAGCTCGGATCACACCACTGCGGGCCCCCTCTGCCACCCCTGGCCGCCCCTCAAGATCCACGTACTAATGAAATTCTACTTCTCTGACAATACAACTCCCGAGGATTCGGTTCGGGTCTACTCAATGACGCAATCTTCTCCTCATCACCAATTCCGAGGAGATACGAGTTTTTAGCTTGGCGTGCTAACACATGAGCTTTGCCTACGTGCCAGTCTGAGAGTATTCCACCTCCTCAGTCCTCGCTCCTCAACCACAACACAACACATAGCTCCTTCCTGCAGTCCCGCTCCTTCCCCGCCGGCCCAACCCCTCCCGTCCACCGACGATCCGACCAAATCAAAACAACCTCCAGCCAAGCCGCCTCGATAACCGAAGCTTGAATCTTCAGTCGGCCACTACACCCAAGCTACAAACTCGGCGCACACATTCATGTGTTCCTCTTTTCCCAGTGTATTTTCGGCACATTTTGTCCGCTAACTATCCAGCTACCCATATCAAGTGTTCGGTGACTCCTAGCCGGTGTGCTGGTGTGGTGGAGACGACAGGAAAATTATCAAGCAAATCTCTGCAGGTGAAATGAGTGTATCTTGAAAACGGCGACGGTGTTACAGAACAAACCGCCGTGACATGGGATGGGTCATGACTGTTGGAGGACAAGGCGGGAAAACGATGTCCATTTCACGTACAACATACAAAAATACAAACATATTTTGCGATGTGCGCTCGAATTTATCCTGGGGTGACCATGAAACAACTTTGTCGCATTTGCTGTTTTCAGATCAGAGAAAGTGAGGGCCCCAGCCCACACTTGAGGATGGCAACGTTGTTGTACATCCGAATAATCCCAGCATTGTTTGGAAAATTGAAAATTTTGCTATAAAAATCAGTAATAAACTATTTTATCGGCACATTAGGCAACCCTGGAGTTGAGGTACAGGGTTTAAGAATCAAGGAAAGCGTCCTTAGTTAGCGTGAATGCGACGAACATTATGCATATTTCATTTCAACTCCTGGATGCAACTATTCGAGCTCCATGGATGTCCGTGTTGCCTAGGCATGGACTTGAAGGCGTTTTGACTGTCCAGGCACCCACCACTTCAACCGCGGCCTGCGGCACGGCGTGGCGCCTACTATAAGGGCTCTAGAGGACCCAAAATGGCAGAGCGCTTTTTTATACTCGTTTATACTACAAAGATATGTCCTTGGCACGAATAGTTGCATACACGCGTACAGGGCCGGATTTAGGGGGTAGCCACATGGGCCGTGGCCCATGGCGGCAAATTTTGCAATTTTTTTAAATTTAGGTATAAAAAAATATTGGATTCAGAAATAAAATTACAAACGAGAAATGGTGACAAAATCTCACTTCCTGAGAGTACAGTAATTTCTAATTTTGTCGTCTTTCGGTGACATAAGAGACAACACCTTTAATTAGTCGAATAAAGAGAGGAACCAAACATGCAATTCGGCCTGAAACGGCGCGACGTAGAGAGCGATGATGACGAGGACTTGAGATGAAAAGGAGAAGCCCTCGACGCGGCGGTTGGCATGTAACACATCTTAGCGCCTACAAGACCGCATGAATACTTCACGCATTGCGTGAGTGGGGTGCACAGTGCACAGTTTGCGTGCACACTTGCACAGTGGGGTCAGCGGCGGCGGTCGGCTTGAAACGCATAGCACCTACAAGACTACATGAATACTTTACGCATTGCGTCATACACAGTGGGGTCAGTTTGTTCTTTCATACTTTTTCCGCTCATTTCTTATAAATGGAAGGCCTTGTCCACACAGAGAGAGGTTTACGGAACTTAACTTTCGCGCAAAGTTCCATGAACTTTTGCTGGTAATGTTGACAGGGCTTCGCAAAAATTGTGTCCAACACGAGTAAACGCGTCTTATGCATCTCTTCCCGCTGCACGTTCACTTGATGGTTTTTATTGATGTTTCAAAACGAATGAAAGTAAGGAGGCGACAAAATACAGGCGGCCCATGGGCGGCAAGTAATAAGTAAATCCGGCCCTGCACGCGTATGATGTATCTTTTGTGCTTCAGTTTTGATACTGCGATGTTCTGAGCAGGATTTATTGAGCAATCATGTATTTATCATTTCATGGGACGTAATTTGTTTGGTTTTTAATTTTTTTCTTACTCTGGGAAAACTAATTTTGAAGTCCAAGTGCGAAATTTTCAAGGAACAATCTTGATGATTTGCACGGAATTTGGAACAAAATCGATGACCATTCGTCTTTCGGAAAAATAAATTGTGATTGGAAATCTCTAACACTGCAAGCCGTAGGTATATGATTTCCAAGGTGCACTGGCGAAACTACAGAAAAAGTAAAGTCTGCATGGTAAGTAGGTATAGTAGTGAAAATTATCTTATGCTGTACTCTTTCCTCTCTGAAATAAATATCTATGGGCTGCGTCTAGTCTGGTTTTTTTTTCTTTCTTCTTTTTTTTCAAACGTTAAGTTCTAAGTTGCTAGCGTGATCGTATGCTTGAATATTTTAAACACCACCGTTATGAATGTACGATAAGTACCCGAAGTGTAGGAGCCAGTTACCTAGCTATGGAATTGGATTCTCGGGAATATTTTTAGTTTTTTTTGGAGTTACTTCACTTCTTTATGGGGCGAGAGAAGAGTAGGGTGCGGAAGCATATCATGATGAAGCACATGCTGGTGTGGTGGTGTCTGCCAATGTTGCCTTCAACCATGAAGTAAGCTTGAACGAACGATGCTCTCTCTCACTGGGTCAGTGGCCGATGAAGGCTAAAATTTTATTTTCATTTTTTTCTTTCCGTCCCATTCTTTCTCGTCATGTGGACGCGTCTTCTTAGTGAGAAAAGCGCAATTTTCTTCCATAATCTCATTGATAGACAGCTGAAATGGAAATTTCGAGATAAGCATAAGTATCAAAACGAGATGTCAGTTTTTCCGGCGGGAAATTAATGTCTGGGAAACACATATTTTCATTTAAAAAAGTTATGGTGACGCACGAATTGTCATGACTGATTGGAAATCAGTGTCAGGCACTAGTACATTTTCTGACGGCGCAAATTAAGTTTGTGTGCTGCTAAAACTCACTTAGTGTTGTCTATACAACTTCGGATTAGGAATGACTTAATTATTGTGAACGATGCTATTAGAGAAAAGGTTAAGCATGCACTTCGGGTTGAATAATAGGGCGTATTTCTGCCAAACAGAACTATGCGCATCACGACGTGAGCCCTGTTATGCATATATTCTTGTGGGTCTCAGGGCTCATGTCTTAAATGCACATAGTTCCGGCTTCATAGGCTCCTTCTTGGTTCGCTCGCTCTACGGCCCCCTTCTTGAAACCAAACTTTAAGAGTACCTACGTATGTACAAAAAATTGAGGGCTTTTTCGCGGTGAAAGGGCTAATGAGGCTTGCGATGTTTCTAAGATTGTGCAATTTTTATAGCGTTTCCGGCAGATGAAATTCATTCAAAGTCGACTGACCTCCTTACAATAGCGAGGAAATACTCGGAGCAAAGTGAGGGACAAACTCATAGCAGAACTGTCTGATAAGTCTAGAGAGCTAGATTGCACAATCGTAGCAGCATTAGAAGTCTCACACGCCCGTTTACCGAAAAATGCCTTAATTTCAGAAATGTTTGTTTTTACCCTCTTACTTCAATTTTAAAAAAAAGGAAAAGAAGAAGAAAAACTGACCCGCGTAGAGCTGATATGATTACGTGCGCCTATAATCTACGTTATAATTACATCATCAGTATGCACGTAAACATGTTAGAGCCAGAGATGAAGCACCCTTCCTCCACCCGCCAGAAATGTTGGAGAAGTAGGCGAGGAAGGTGGAAAAAATCGTGTGAAAAACGTTGCATTTTGGCAAAAACCTTTACAATTTCTGTATCCCCTTCTCCCTCCTGCATCCCCGAGGTTGCTGAAATCTATTCTGAGCCTATCAACGCAAATCCTCTATCTAGCTATAGCTTGGCAATTGTCTTACTCAAATGATGAAAGATTATGTAATTTGTTGTGAATCACACGAGTTTAGTGATTACCTATACTGATACGCTGCGGAGTTGCCAAATATTGCGGGTTTTCTTGATAGGAAATGAACCGTATATTCACGACAAAGAACCGTGTTAAACAGGGTCGAATTTACATTTTTTGCGCCTTAAACTGAATTTCAGTTGACGCGCGGCCTAAAAGTAGGCGCTCTTTGAAGAAGAGAGGGGGGGGGAGAGAGAGTTCCAGACCTTCTCTCCTTTCGGGAAAGGAGGATGATAGCTATGCATTTTTTAATACCGGGGAAAATGTTTCAAACACTTGATTTTAAACAATTTTGAGATACCCTTTTGGAAAACATTGACATGGAAAAAAATGGGTCGGGAAAATAAAACCGGCGAAAGACAGGAAGAATAAATTGGAAATACACAGGTACTGGCGTTTTGGAATGAAGTCTTAAATATTTTGCGCCTATCAGTGTGTTTGGACACTTGGACAGTGTTTTTGGTGGCTCAGGTAGCCCAACTGCAAATCCGGCTCTGAGTGCTTTTTTGCTTTCGCTTACAAGTTCGCCTTCAAATATTTGACAGGCGATTTGAGCGTCTCAGGAGCAGCTTTAGTTGCTTAGAGCATTTTCATTCGGCTTTAGCCAGGAGAAGACATGAATTTACTTTATTAACAGTGCTTTCATGGCCTCAGAAGTAACGAATAATAACAATGACTTTTATAAAATACTTTTTAAAAACTCGGAAGAAAATACTGTGGAAAATTAATATCTCGAAGACCCTATTTGGTTAAATTTTTTTAGGAATATGGTAAAATTTACGCGCAGAGGTTTCTTTAAGAAAAAAATTTGCTACTATTTTAAGAGGTTTTTTTTTACATTTTTTTTAAAACATTTCGAGCTATAAGAACTATTTTTTACTTTTTATGGGTTGTTTAACGCTGTTTTTAATTTCTTAGCTCTCATGAATATCAATCAAAAAATATACTAGAGGGTACCGTAAAAAGCACACTTTAACGGCTTTTTAAAAGGGGGTTTTCTTTAAAATTTACGAGTTTTTTGTAGTCGTTGCTACTTGGAAACTCATCTTTTCACACTTGCAAAAGTATACAACAGCTCCGTTGATCACGCTTGGCAGCTTTTGACGGATGTCAGGGTCAGGCTTTTATAGACAGCTTTTGCTTTTGTTGGAAAATCAAATTATGAAATCAACTTGGCAAAGTCGCGAGAAGAAGCCTCCCATCGTGCGTCGCGTCTCGGCGTGTTTGCGTCCTTTGGCAAGCTCCAAAGGCCCCGCGCTCAAAAAACAAAGGAAATAAAAAAGAGAAGTCGAATAAATTAAGGCACTCAGCAAAGATGAGATTCCACCTTTCTATTATCAATTTTTCATTATCAGATCCAATTTCCAATACACAGTCGCGTCCAGTGGCGTGGCGTGAATTGCGATATATCGATTGTTAGTCCATTTAAACCTATGGAAAAGGATCGATTATTAAGGTGTTCGCTGAGAACACCCTGTTAATCGATCCTTTTCCATAGGTTTAAATGTTAGATTAATCGATATATCGCAATTCACGCCACGCCACTGGTCGCGTCGGTGCGTACCTCCTCGGACAGAGAGGTGACTTTTTGCAGCAGATTACTGCCGTGCTAAGGAAGAACGCCTTATGAGCCTTCAGGCGTTGCCACATTTCCTCTGATAAATTCCAAATTTCTTGGGGGAAATGGTAAATATTTTTCTTCCAATTTTGCAGACAATTTTGTTCACAATTTAATCTAAAATATCTGGAAATTTCAACGAAAAATATGCATTAATTTCGTCAAAAATACACGATTTATTCTGGGAAACTTGGCAACTCTCGAATGTTCATACGGCGTTCTTCCTTAGCACGGCAGAACGGGCATCTGATAATTCTTATCTCCGCACTCGAAACCACTGCGAGTCTCACAATCAGCTAATACTCAACTTAAAGCAGATATGTAATGCATTACGAATAACGTCTTGATTTAGAGAGAGAGGCGGGACAGACAGACGGACGAACCGAATTATTGATTTTAAAATTTCTGCGTCTGTGAGGTGAGGTCAACGGAGCGATTGCTCTGCATTGAGCAGTCAAAAATCGAAGGTGTCATTTTGTCATTAGTATAGCGTTAGGGGTCATACAGACGGACACAGACCCCTTTTCATCCTCTACTCGAGATTTTCTCCAAGATAATTATTTTAATTTCTTCGATGGGATATTGAAGTTTTGCGATTCTCCCTGCCGCAAGCGAATTTTGCCCACGGTACGTAATTTACAAATTACGAAGTAAAGTGCGGTAAGTTTACCAAGAAATTCCTGTTTTATCAAAGGAAATCTGGCGACGCCCAAAGGTTTATGCGGCGTTCATTCCTAAGCACGGCAGTCTAAAGCTTGCGCATTGCGTTTCGGGGGTCAAAATGCAATGACGAGGGCAATGCACACGGAGAAAAAAACCTCGTGCGTGGGACCCGAAGTTTAGGTCATATGGATCTTTGAAGTTTTCAGATTGAGCATCTGAACACTTCAGGTCTAGCTGTCGAGATTTGGATCACACGTCTGAAACTTCAGTTCTTACATCTGAAGTACTTCAGATGTAAGAACCCCCTGGTAAAAATTGGCGATAGGAGCTGCGTTTCAAAATACCATAGGAGTTCTTTCTTATAGCCGACTGAAGAAGGCGATAGAAAATCATATAGCTGGCTGTAGAAAGAGGAAAAAATAATACGGCCGGGCTACTTAAAGCGATAAAAAATTATACAGCCGGGTTATTTTTCCTATCGCCGGGCTTTACACTTTATCGCCTGGCTGTTGCTTTTTCGCCATCGGCTATAAAAGGCTATAAGAAATTGTGTAGAAATTCGTGTGCTTTGTAAATCCTTAATTTGTACGGAATCACCTTAATATTTACAAAATGCACATTATATTTTCCTTCACTACATATTTTTTTCATCAATTAAAATGAGAATAATCCACACAGAGTGTGCAAACGTTTCAAAGTCATGAGTTGAAAAACGCTGCCTCCACGAAATTAAATATTACAGCCTAACACAAAGCGGAGCGGCGCGCGGCGCACTGGCGCCTACAAACCTAACAGAGATACTTCACGCATTGCGCAATGCGTGAAGTATCCCTGTTAGGTTTGTAGGCGCGAGCGCGTTTCGCGCTGGCTGCCCGCCTGCCGCGCCGCAGCGTACCACGGCGCTTGAAGCAACTATGCCACACTAGAGGTATGGCACAGTATCATACGAAATTGAAGGAGCTCCAACATATTAGAAATGACAGGCATCCTTCAGAAGTACGGGGCTTTTCTCGCAAAATAAATCAAGATACTACGACCCAGAAAGAGAGCGGTAGTCCAAAAACTCAATAAGTCCTAGCATCCGTAATTTGTAACGTTTAGCATACACTTTATCGCCAGGCTGTTGCTTAATCGCCAGCGGCTATAAAAGACTATAAGAAATTGTGTTGCCGGCTATAGAAGCTATTGGAAATCTTACAGCCGGCTGTAGGTCTATGGTATTTTGGAACACATTCTACTGCCAATTTTTCACCAGGGCCGAAGTTTTTCGGATGTGAGAACTGAAGTTTTTCGGATGTGAGAACCGAAGTTTTTCGGATGTGAAAACCGAAGTACTTCAGATGTAAGAACTGAAGTTTCAGATGTGTGATCCAAACCTCAGCAGCTGGACCTTAAGTGTTCAGATGCTCAATCTGAAAACTTCAGAGATCCATATGACCTAAAACTTCGGGTCCCACGCACGAAGTTTTTTTCTCCGTGTAAACGTGACACTTGAACAGCTCTAAAAATTTCTACGAGCACTCAACTGGATATGACATTTCCAGTGTCATCCGTGCGAACGAACGAAAGAGCACATTTTCTCCACTAGCTATGTCTCTATCGGGAAAATTAATCATTCTTGACCACCTACCATCCGGCAACAATGGGCGACATTGTCACTGATCGTTGCTCTTCGCGCTGGGCAGCGCCGCGTTATTATTGAAAGAAACACTGTCATGAGTGTCATGGCGCAGTAGGACTTTAGAAGGCTGTTTTTTTCAGACCTGACCCTTGAGAACTGATCTGCCAACTCCAACGCACCCAAACGTGCCACATTTTAACACTCGCTTTTCTGCTGCCCGCCGGGTTTGCTAGTTTTCCTGGACTCATTTCGCAACGATACACTTGCACTATTTGATGAGGTGTAGGTAGCTACGCAGGCTGCGGATACAATACGCACGATGCTCCGCTCAATGGGAAAATCAGTTTGAAAACTTGACTTATTGTTAGATGTTTTTGTGTTGAATTCCACACTCAATTTTTCCCAAATTTTTCTCAAAAAATATCTCAGGAGACACAAGAAGGGTCTACATGTCAACAATTCATAGAAATGGCGTAAAATTAGGCGTTGTTTGGGCCGACTGTTGGATGATAGGGGAAAGGGCTGCCCACCCCCAGGCTGTACCCGTCCCCTGCGAGTTTAAGCCCCTGATGGTGTTTCTATCGCGTGCGAGGATTTTCCTAGGCGGCGCGTCTGGAAATATCGATAAGTATATTAAATCGTTTGTCACACATCACGACTGCTCTACTTGAGTCAAGTGTTCTGTTCGCTCATTTCTAGAAGCGAAGGCTTCAGCCTGGTTTGCGACTGGCATCAGATCAGTCGAGTGATATTTCAAGGACCTTCGCCTTTCCGTATCGAGCGAGCCTCGCGAACCCGTGTCTCGACTCGTGTTACCTACTCCGACGTCAGTGGCGATTTTGCAAGTTGGCAGCAATGTTTTTCCTCCATTTGTTTTGAAGAAATATTTCATTGTAAGCTTCCAATACAGGAAATATATACAATTAGCTTAGATTATACCTAAGTAATATATGTAGAATTAACAACAGATTAATTACTTAATATCATAAGAAAGAAAGTGGTAAAATAATTGACTAACGACAGTTAGTCGAGTATATAATTTTAAATATTTAGAGTTTAGGACTCGGAATCAGTAAAGACATTCATAAAGATCCAATGCCTCCATTTAAATCCATTGAAAATATCGATTTTAGGTGAATCACCAAAAATCGATTGTTTTACATACATTAATGGACGTAAAACAGTGTTGCCAACTTTCAAGAATCGCCACTGTCCGTCGTGCTCGGAGAAAATACAGTATCATTATTTAGACGATGCCAGATTTCTCTGGAAAAAGACTTGTTTTTTGGTGAACCTGCGAGATATTTTTCTGCGAATTGTTTTGAGAGTGTCTTTAACAGAGATTTCTCAGGTTTATCAAAGAAAATAGTATTTTTCAATAAGAAATTTGGCATCGTTTGAATGCTCATACGGATCCATCTATTCCAACTGTGCAATTTTCGTATACGATACGACTAGTTTGACTCCAAAGTGACTTAAATTGCATAACAACCGCATTGAAGGCGAAATCAGTTTCACACTTTTAGCCCATTTAGTTACATTTGTTTCAACTTAAGACGCTTGTATGCTTGTTTGAAAAGTTGAGTGTAAATTCTCTATGAAGACATGAGTACAAAACTCTGAGAAAACAGTGTTGATCATTGGTTCGAGATTTACGGAGTGAGGTTGGGCATGCAACCTGCACTAAAAAATGCCAAAAAGCAAAAACCAGTCACCTTTCATTTGATTTTGTATTTGATTTCGAAACATATTTTTCAATATTTGTCATATTTTTCTGAGAGTTAAAGAAACATTTCACATGAAATTTCAAAATTTTATTTTCCATGAAAAATTGGAACCCTGACAGAGGGTCGCTCAATAAAGTGGAGTTATTATCTGAAGTAGCTACTGAAAAACACGCGAATGAGCTTGAGCGTTAAGAATTGAGAACTTACTAGAAAATGAGCGGAACCTGCTGAGTCAGGTTCAGAAGTTGTTGTTCTCAAGTCAAAAACAGTTGGGATCCGTTTCAATGTGTTAAGGACAGCTTGAACGAGGAAATCAACTTTGAAGCTGTAACGCACATCGCCTCGCGAGTGGGTGGACTTAAACGCAATAACGGAGAAGCAACAGTTTAGAGATGCAACGTAAATTTCAGGCCGTAGGAAATTTCAACAATCGAACGGTTCAGTTAGTCCTTCGAGTTTATCTTGTTTACTCCAGCCATACAATAAGTTGTCAAGCATACGACAAACACATTTTTTTCCCATCTCTCAAGAGTAAAACTCGCCGTGCACGAGTGTTTAAAGTTGTCAAAATAACTCGAGAGTTATTTGCATAATGATACAACTTAAAATCAGCAGGCAGTCGATTGAGAAATAAATTAATGTTAATGAATTGGATGCGCGTGGCAGGATTTAAAATTGACGTTTCAGCCGGAATGATATGACAATTTTTTTCCTTTTCTTATCGACCATTTTCCCATGATTTTTGTTTTCCTGCGCTATTTTTGTTCAGATTTTTCCAAAATTAAAGTTGAAAATTCTCGCGCGAAATGATAACTCCTCAAAACTGATTGTGAGGTTAATTTTTAGGTGATGAAAGTCTCTCTTTTTTTTTGTCATGTCCGTCTCCTTAATCCTTTTAAATTTATTTACGGATATCAGAACTATAGGGAGGCATTGTTACAGTTGAAATTGAGCAATTTCATCTGAGTATTTGGACCAAACTTCAAAGTAACTTTACCTATCGCTCTTAGGGAGCTCCGCTTGCCTGTTTACAAAATTTGTATGGGAATGAAGCTTTGAGTTGCACGGAAAATGAGATAGGTAAGTTAGCAAGAACTCAAATGTAAACAAGGCTGAACCGAACGACATGATGATGCAACCTTTCTATCGTGACACGATCTGATAAAAAAGACGTATGTATCGCAGGACAGTTAATTATCAACGTTCGGGGCATGCCTGAAAATCACGTCATACGGATTAACGACAAATTGTAAAATGGAGAGAGCCAACAGGATGTGCGTCATCTAGAAAAGGGTGGCCAATAAGAGAGGAGTATGGCCAATAAGCTAGAGGATAAGAACCTCATGCATCGTTAGATTGCTTGGTTATTATTGTGTACAATGGGACTATAATGCATCGTCTCTCGATCGTATGTGTAGTAGCAGTAGGTACGGCGGAGAATTCCATTTTAGTAATTGCACCCCTCTTCGTAATGAATAACACTTTATATTTTCTCTATGAAGAAGCCTGGAAGACAAGGCGCATTAACACAGTTTTTGATATTTTAAGATATAAGTACGTGTTTAAAAGTTCAAAATTACATGAAGCTTAAGGGCGGTAAATCATTTTTGGAGCTTAATAATTGGATTTTAGTGGTGAAATTTTGACAAAATAGGTATATTCCTAGACTAGCTTTACTTGAAATCAATAATACCTCAATTTTTCGAAAACTTTACTCAGGCTCGGACTGATGGCCATAAGGCCAATCTGCCATTGGCAGATACGCCCCCTTGGCGCGCCAAAAACGCGCCCCTCTGACAGATAGTAAAATAGGAAGAGAAAAAAAAATTACGACCGAGAATATACATGAGCGGAAAATTTCTTAAATGAACAGAAGAAGAGAGAGTTAGGAGTGAAGAGAGGTGCTTTTACGCATAGTGGTGAACAGAGGTCCAAGAACTACTTTCTGAAGCGTAAACACTTTTCTCCGAAATTGTCACCTTTTTGTTGACATATAGGCGCTTTATCATCCCCCTCCTTCATTCTCTATGTGTAACTCCCGTAGAAACGATAGCCGGTTCGATTTTTAGACATACGCACACCTTATAGACCTCATGAGAGACCTTTAAACATATTTCCTCCTTTTCAAAATGACTATTGATTTGGACATATCATGGCATATCTCGGGCAAACTTAACCTTAATTTATTTCGAAATTCAAAAGCAAGAGACATCTAACGTGTAAACGCGATACAACTATTCTCGCAAGATGAATGTCCACATTGCATATGAAAAATGTAAGACGCAATGGCGTGAGTCGTGAAGTCGCAACATTACAAATAAGACAAACGGAAACCAACACAATATGGAAATGAAGCGAGGGAAAGGTTGCGCGTCAACGACGGCGCAGAGATACAACTATTCGTACTTGATGGACGTCCGTGCTGCGTCTGAAAAATTGAAGGCGCGATGACGCGAAGCGTGAACTCTCAATCCTTTGCTGTATGCTGCCAATGAGGTGTCACTCAGATTCGGGAGAAAAGTTAAAAAAGAGGCCCGAACACATCTCTCCTATCTTCGGCTGTGTTATTCACGTAGTGCTTGAAGCACCATTACGAATAGGACAAACGCAAACAAACACAATATGGAAATAAAGCGAGGGAAAGGTTGCGCGTCAACGACGGCGCAGAGATACAACTATTCGTACTTGATGGACGTCCGTGCTGTATCTGAAAAATTGAAGGCGCGATGACGCGAAGCGTGAGTTCTCAATGCTATATGCTGCCAATGAGGTGTTGCTCAGATTCGGGAGAAAAGTTAAAAAAGAGGCCCGAATACGTCTTTCTTGTCGTCGGCTGTGTTGTTACTCGTTCTTTCTTCTTTTTTCAGGTTCTTGCCTTATTCTTTTTTAGGATGGATTTTTAGACCCACGTCTTAAGCTCGTGTAAACCGCAGCACTGACACGGTTCTTGTGGAAATAATGGTGCTTGGATGCGTCCAGTGGCTTTAATGTTTTTTGTTTTCTTTAATTTCAGAGGTCTGTCGGTTACTTTAATAAGTTCAATTTTACAATTTTTACTCTGTGCGATTAATAAACTTTGAACCTGAAAATAGCGTAAACTTGTACTGCGTTGCCAAAATTTTCTGAACCCCTCTCCACGAAGGGGATGCTCCATCAGGAAATATCACATTGCGCCCCTTTAACCAGCCAAGGGTCTACGCCCTCAGATGCGAGCCAGTCCGACCCTAACTTTACTTATGCACACTGTCCTCCAAGCCTCCGTATTCCTCTCATCATACTTCTGATGATAATCATCTATCTAACAAGGCTGGCAATTTTCCCTTTGAAGGAAAAGCACCCCACTAAAAAAACATAGAATTAATTTAGCTTCCTTGAAATAAGTTTTTCTGGAACTTTTATGAACCTTAACATCCGAATTTTGAGGTTGTTGACACACTAATACGCAGGAAAATCACTCTTTAAAACACTCATCCGAAGCATAGTCCAAATGAAATGATTTTGGGGCTCTAGGGGGTTGAATCTTCGGACCAGCCCCCCCTCCCCCTTCACATGACCCAGGGTCGCACCCCGAAGGATATTTCCAGCGATTTTCTGGAATTTGTTCATCTTTGAGCCGCTCTCGTATGGCAAGCTTTTGACCGTTGACTCAAAGGGACAAATGTGCTTTTAGTGTTTTAGGACACACACAAGCAGGACACACAACAGCGATCTCATTTTAGTAACAGAAAACTCGAGGATGTGAAACCTACATTTTGAAAATAATGTGAATCTACAGGGTGTATTATCTTGCTAACTATACAGCCAAACGTGTCGAAAAATAGCTCCAGCGATGACCGACAGCGAAGAGCGCCGTATAGAGTGGCGCTCATCATATTCATGCCACTATTATGGACATGGAAAAAAGAGTGTCAAACTAACAAAACATCCGTTTTTTTCCTTTCTCAACGGAGGGACAAGAAAAGATAAGGCACTCAAATACAAACAGCCTATTGTTCACGAGTAGCAAAGTAATAAGAAAAAAAATTCATAGACAATAAAAAAAAGGGAGTAAGAATTCAACGCTGTTCGACAGGATCTCATATGCCAGATCTGGGCATAATATCGATGGCCACAGTGCAAAACAACGCATCTCCATTGCGGTGTCTCCAAATCTCCGCTCCTATTTAATCTTTCAAAGAGTAACAATTCAAGTTCATTATTTAACCAGAACGGAACTTTCAGAATGGAACAACTGCAGTAAAAACAGAAAAATGGACTTAAACTGCATGCAAGATGCTTTAGAACTTCGAAAAACTGGGAAAGCCCCCGGACCCT